AGCGAGATCTTCTATTCGCACAAGCATGTTGTCGGCCCAGGCATGAACATGAGGCATGAAAATCTGTGATATCTGCTTATTCAGATTCTGACCGAAAGCCAGTCCGTTTTTCGGAAGGCCATTCTCGCGCAGCATCTTTGCAAAGGTCTGATAGTAAGTTTTGGGGGACGACCAGAGGATGAGCACATCCTTCAGCATTGGGAGGATGTGGATCTGAGCCTGATCTCTTCCCAAGGGAGAGTGATGCGGTCTTGAACCAGCGTGGTTGAAAGGTTCATCAGGGCGTCCTTCAAGATTGGTATTTCGTGTGCTAGATTTTCTCTCATCTGCGCATAGCCCTCGTCGCCCACAAAGTTGACCTGAAGCTGTTTGCTTTTGACAACTATGTCAGGCAGCGTGTCGAAAATGTGGTTGCGTAGAGCTCGGTAGTTCGTGCGAGCTGGTAAACCGAGTAGAAAAATGCGAAGAGCGGGAATGCCGGTCGCGAAGATGTCTAGAATTGGTGGGCTCTCCGGTTTCCGTGCCTTGCAAAGCTGGAACTGTCGCGCAGATGTTGAAAGTTGGTCTATCCCCTTTGATTGAACGTGGGCTTGAATCTTTGCGCCTTCGCGAAGGATGTACGCTAGTCTGGCTGCCTTGAGTACAATCTCCTTATATGTATCAATGTCGGCAGTAGTCTGATTGGCTTCTTCGTCATCTTTGTCCGTGTCTTCTAAGTCCTCCTCTTGGGGCCTGATCTCCTCGAGACGCGCCTGGAGAGTAAGGAACGGCTCCTCGTTGATATCCTTGATCACCTGCGCTATATCATGACATTGTTTTTATGTATGCTGTAAGTAAGAGAAGCTTCGGGTTATGGGCATACTGACATCGCACTTGTTCGTGACTAGGAGCGTCTTATTGGCACCGCGGCGCGAGATGGAACGATCCAGATTTTGATCATGCGTCTCGTTGGTCGCCGACCGCGAACTGGGTACGACGAGTATTTCAAAATGCGCACTAGCGCGAGCCTTGTCCGTGTTGGCGTTGCGTATTTGATTGGTGTCTCCATAAACTATCACTGTTAGTAAGTCGGTCATGTGCGTAAGAGAAGCCAGTCCCACCATTATTCCAAAATTGTGCCTCAAGAGAACATGACCGGTCGCGAGGTAGATATGGTGTATCAACGGCCAGAACCTTTGGGCGATTTTCCATATCTTCGGGAGTTCGCTGTCATGTACATTGTCCATTCGTCCACGCAGCTCCAATTGTTCACCGAGACGAACCAAACACTTCTTGGACTCCTCGAGGCATCTCTGAAAGAAATTGCCTTCTTTGATGTTCTCGCCATTGGCAATATCGGTGTTGTGGAGTAAATCCATGAGTTCAAGTTCGGCTTCATGAACGGTAAGAGAAGAAAGCGACACAACAAGGAGGTAGTTGAGCACAGTATGCTGGCAAGGATGGGAACTGCTGAGTGAGTGAAGGTGGGTGAAGGTTTGATGTGGAAATGCTCAGCCTACATGCCACAACCTCTGGAGTTCTAAGTCCTCGAGTTGTATCGCGATGATAGTTAATTGGCAGCGATGTAGCTGGCATGATGGGGTTAGGTTGCGCGGGTAGCGGCACACACAGCTAAGGCGATGGCGTGCACGACAAGCATGCACAAGAGCCGCATTTCTGAAGCTTGTCTGAACCTCACCTCTGAGACATGGTCACAGTGTGGAGGCATGTTGGAAGTGGAAGGGCGATGTTGAGGGCGCACGTGGGTTCACGTTCCTGGTGGCTTGGCCGACGTTATGCGCGCTAACAGAGATGGACTATCCTATCCCACCAAAAACCTGAATCGCGGATCTCGGACGGGCTTTCATATGAAAGCGCCTTCGTCATGTTTGGCGCATAGCTGCACGCCCAATTGGGCCGTAGACAGTTGTTCCTGCGCAATTTTGCGCTCGTCCAACATTCATTCCGTTCTTTTCGCCTGCATCCCTCTATGGCACTTTTGAACCGCCCACGCGACTTGCGACGGCTCTGGCTGCGCGGGACGCGTCGCGGGTGAGTGACGTCTACTGGAAAAGCCGATGAACGCGATGCTGAACTCTTAGGCTACACACCAAACGACCAACACCCCGAAGATCACATGTCGCCACTCTGAGCCTCCGATATGGCCCGCCATGTCTTCTCGCGACCGCCGCAGCTGGCTATCTGTCCACCACGACCGTGCCATCGCCCCTCATACGTCCAATCCACCTCGATGCGCCATCCGCATGGACTTCGTGGGCGCCATCTGCGCTGACGGGCGGCCAGAAACGAGGGGCGACAACCTCGGCTGGGGACGCCGAAGAAATGGTCAATGAACAGAACACGGGCAAACCCGGAGACCAGGAGGCGCCTCCCCAGACTCGCGTCGCAAAAGAAGACAACGAGGACAGCGCCAATGGCAAAGGCGACAATGCCTCTAACTCAGCATGGCAGACCATCAGAGGCAGCTTCCCAAGCCCGCCAGACCTCAAATCGGCAACTTCGATTGGAGACACCATCATCGACCTCGTGATACCATCGTGGGTGAAGGTGCTGCCTGGCTTCATCAGGAAGCTGCAGAACGAGCTGTCGATGGCGCCAGGCTCGCTGGCTGAAGAGATCTGGTACGACGCCAACAATCCCGAGGCCAACCCCGAGATCATATGGGACGCTTCGGTCCGCATCTCCAACGAGCTGTGCCAGGACGAGAAGGCTTTCCGCTCCAAGAGAGCCCAGTTCACAAAGGCAGCCCTGGCGAGATACCTTGACATTCCTGAAGCCACCATCCACCCCGACGACGTACCCGTCATAGCCATGTGCGGGTCTGGCGGAGGGCTGCGCGCACTGGTTGCCGGGACATCATCATATCTCTCCTCGAAAGAGCAGGGCCTCTTCGACTGCGTGACGTACACTGCTGGCGTCAGTGGAAGCTGCTGGCTCCAGACACTCTACTACTCAGATATCACGCAGCAAAGCCATGCGCGCCTGATCCGCCACCTCAAGAACAGGCTGGGCGTGCACATTGCTTTCCCTCCTGATGCACTCGAACTGCTGGTCAGCGCACCGACCAACAAGTACCTTCTGAGCGCGCTCGTGGAGAAGGCCAAGGGCATCCCAGACGCTGATTTTGGCTTGGTGGACATCTATGGCGCGCTCCTTGCAGCCCGACTACTTGTACCCAAGGGCGAGCTCTCCGTAAGCGAGTACGACTTCAAGGTCTCCCACCAGCGACGCTTCACTGATGACGGCTCTAATCCGCTTCCCATCTACACCGCGGTACGACACGAGATACCACTCGCCGAGCAGTCTGGCATGAAGGACCGGATAGCGGCGGAAGCGAAGGCGAACAGGGAAGCCTGGTTCCAATGGTTCGAATTTACTCCCTATGAAATGTGGTGTGAGGAGCTGTCCGCAGGCATTCCGACATGGGCCATGGGACGTCACTTTGACAAAGGACGAACTGTTTGGCGTGACAACGGCTTGGCCTTACCAGAGGTCCGCGTTCCGCTGCTTATGGGTATTTGGGGCTCCGCATTTTGCGCCACGCTATCGCATTACTACAAGGAGATCCGGCCCCTGATGCGCACTCTTACCGGCTTCGGTAGCCTAGATGCCATGATCTCTGAACGCGACGAGGATCTTGTCAAAGTCCATCCCATTGATCCAGCATCAATTCCCAACTTTGCTCTTGGCCTGCGCGAGCTCTTGCCACCCACTTGCCCGGAGAGCATCTTCGAGCAGAAGAACTTCCAGTTCATGGACGCTGGTATGAGCAACAACCTGCCCATCTACCCCCTTCTCCGCCCGGGACGGGATGTCGACATCCTCGTTGCTTTCGATGCCAGCGCAGACGTTCGTACGGACAACTGGCTCAAGGTTGCAGACGGCTATGCCCGTCAACGAGGCATCAAAGGCTGGCCTGTTGGCGCAGGCTGGCCACCGGACGACGAGACAATGGAAGAGCTCCAGCAAGACCTCGACAAGGCCCAAGCGAAATCAGAGCAGCAAGCACAAAGCAAGATGGAAGCAGCTCAAGATAAAGACACCGAGGAGAAGAAGAAGTCAAAGAAGAAAATAGACCTGGGCTACTGCAACGTCTGGGTCGGCACAACCGAGGAACGTGTGTCTGACACCGAACCACCAGAAAGCAAGCTAGTAGAAGAAGACTGGGAACTCATGCATCCCACCTCCGGTATAACAGTAATTTATTTTCCTTTCCTCGCCAACTCCAAAGTGCCCGGCGTCGACCCCAGAACCTCAGACTTCATGTCCACATGGAACTTCATCTACACGCCCGAGCAGATCGACAAAGTCGTCAACCTAGCGCGCACGAACTACAGTGAGGGCGCGGACAGGACGAAACGGACTGTCAGGGCGGTCTATGAGCGTAAGAAAAAGCTACGACTCCAGCGCGACAAAGACGACAAGGAAGCTCGGTGGCGGTGGAAGTTGAGTCAAGGAAGGGTGCGCGGGACGAGGGTCGGAGGAAGTGATCAGGGTGATCAGTTCAGTTAGGAAATACACAAAACGGGACGGTGGTGGGAAGGTTGGATTACTGGTTGCATTATACCCATTTGGCTCGAGAATGAAAGCTCATTATGATTTTCACTGGGTGTGCTTTTCGGGCTTGGCGTGATTTGCATGTAGAAGGCCTACCTATTAAAGTCGCAATATCGCACTGCGATGATAATCCTGGCTGGAAGGAGAATATTGAAAGCTCAAGCTGACACGGATTTTATTAAACCCTCAGATCTTGGGACGACGAAGAAGAAGACGAAACCAGAGAAAAAGTAACCACAGGGTCCAAATACGTACTCAGAACGAAATGAGAATAAGCGTCCGAGCACCAGTATCGACGATCCGCGTCGGCAAGCCAAGGTCCAAGTTAATAGATAATTTATCTTACCAGCTAAAGTACAAACGTTCCTCCACATCTCCACAACCTACCTAGACATCCATCCAAGCCCTCCAAAAAGAACGTCATCATCACAAAACCAAAATCACGGTCTCCCTGGAAATCGAATCCAGGCCTTCACGTCTTGAATAAGCGCGCTCCTTGCCGCCGGCAAATGATTCAGTACTTCCGTGATGCGCTACCACTACACCAGGAGACCTTGAGATATATTGATAGTGGGGGTAGGCTTTGTTAGGCATGTATGTGTGGGAAAGGTGATCAGTGCACGAGGAAGGTTGGATCTGAGGCACGCGATTCGCGATGGTAGATTCTGTACAGACTCTGCAACGCCAGTAGTAGTCGGCGTCAGAAGGATGGGCACATTCGTCCAATTTCCGTATTCTTCTGATGCGTAACGAGAACCAAGACTCTTGAGCAGCGTGTTCACGTGAATTGTACGGCTCGGTAGTTTGTAGCTGCCTTGTGTGGTGACGGCAGCTGAGAGTTTTTGGAGCCTGAAGATCAGATTCTCCCGTGCGATGACATTGAGATGCGGCGAATCACAGACAATTTCCAGTCGATCACCACAGTTGGTCGCGTATAGTGCTGCATTATGTCAGCGATACTGGCCATGGCCACTCATCAGCAGGGCGTATGGTTCTCAAGTAGTGTCCGCAGGTCAACCACGAGGATGCTGCCCTTCGTTCGGTCGATCGCGTCGCCCCAGAATTGCAACCAGTCTTCGGCGGCACGATGAGCGAGCGGCACGAGGGAGGCGTCCCGAACCTCAGCGACAGAGGCGAATGGTGTAGTCTCGGGGAATACAGGCTAATAATCGTTAGTCATGTTTCTCGGTTTTGAGAATTACTCTCATACAGACCTCCACGATGTTCTGCAATGCAGCCTCGAGGACGTTCCAGGACTGCTTTGGCTTGATCTTCTGCAGTCGCCAAGCGATCCAATGCGCGGTCTCGAGTATCGTTCCGCGCTCGCTCGTATTCGGACTTGATCTATGTACAATGAGACCGAGTTGATCTAGTGCCAAATCTGATGCCACTGACGTGCTTTTGCAGATTTTGGATTGCCGCCCTATACGCAAGAGCCTTGGCGGTTTGAACTGTTGCCTCTGCAGCACTATCCCCGTCGGGAACAAAGTCGCGTATGCGAGCTTGCAGCTCCAAGTTGGTGGCCGCGACAAGACAGTCTTCAGCAGAGACCTCGCCTTCCGCAATGATCTCAGGATTGAGTCCTTGCCATAAAGTCCATTCATAATAAGCTTCTGGATTCACTTGTACCTGTCCTTGGCACCATCCCAGATGGTCTTCATGTCATCGTTGACTGGGCCTGACGAAGTCCTGATGTATCCGCCTGACAAGTGCCCTTCATGGATTGCGATCAATATCGCAAGTTGGATGCCTTGCGCTCGAAGGCGCTCAGAGTTGGGGAAATTGTCGATTGTGCGTATCAACGGTTACGACCTGGTCTTTCGCAATCCTCCCGAGGACATCTTTGAGGATCCATGGGATAGCCCTCAGCTTCACGAATTATCGGTCAGCGTACGGAGATCTACGGTTCCCTGAATCAGTCTCTCGGTAAGTCCTGAAACCCAGAAAAGGTCTAAGCTTGACGACTACATCTACGTATGTGAAGATCATACTAAATCTTAAAAAATCTCTGTAGATATACAAAACAAGGTAGCTTTATTTCCGGCTTTCGCGGCTTACCGAGAGCCAGTCTGAACATCGTGGCAATGTGAGACCAGGCGGTGTTGCAACCTGGGCTGGGATACCTTCCGCAGGGCTGGTGCGCATTGTGTTCAAGGTCGTACTAGCGTTTGTAGAAAGCCCTAAACCGGAGGCATGATTCAAATGCAAGTTTGTCTTTCTAATAGCGACCTCCGTAGCTCAGCGAAGCCATAATCCCTTGTGTAAACCTCCCACCACCTTCATTATCCAAGGCCATGGTGTATTAAAGCCAGACTGCTGAAGAACGCTGGGGACATGGTTCCAGCGATGCTTAAGTGGTGTTCATTTGATCGTAATTGATCTTGCCGTCATCGATGTGCAATATCAGCCTTAGCTAGGCTTGCTTTTCAAAGCCGTTCAGATATTCGATTTGAATGTAATCGTCTTCGTTGCGTGGGAAAGCCAGATACAAACGATTGATGGAACGACTGCCTTTCTTAGCTGGTGGAGGGAATGAGGCCGAAAGACGAGAGCATTTCAGTCGAAGATCAATGTGCGATTAGTACCTGCGAGTGTATAAAGCTGCATTGATAAGCAGTTGAGTGTCATGGAAAGAGCGTCGTGATGGGTTGTGGTGTGTTCGCTGACTAATGACGATTTGACGTCAGTGGAACGCGCGATGTCAATCGAACTCCGTCCCTCTTCACGTCAACTCCAAGTGCTGTCGATGCAACCCTACTCATGGTCAACCATCTCTACGTGATTGCAACACACAATCTTCCGCGTCATTCTCATGGAGTTCTGCAGGTGACCGCGCCACAAATATGCACAAGCTCAAGTCCGGTTCCTTCCCGGATCCGAGAAGTTTACATACGACATGTTCAGCTTTGACAACAACCCCGAAGGATTTTAGTATCCTATCTCTGCAAGAATCGAGGGTCCACAGCAAGCAATCCTAAAAGATCATTATCTACCTGCCTAATTGTCGTAAAGACATCAAAGTTGATTGGCTACTTCGGGCCAACTATGGAGCCTCGATCTTTGTGGGATTAGGTTCAATGCTACCAATGTCACCCGTAGGTGAATGCGCATGCATACGTACGGCGAAGGATGACGAACACGTAAGCAGTCCTTGAGCATATAAGACTAAGGTTAGCTGATGCGCTTTTCTGGGGGGTAATTCAATCTCTGACATTTTAGTCCTTTGCCCGATCACCTCATGTCCAAACCAATCTTCGTTCTTCTCCACGGTGCTTGGCACACTCCACGATGCTGGGACAAGCTCGTCGCAGAGCTAGATAAAGCAAGTTACGAGTCCGTTGCTCCCGCACTGCCATCAAGTGGATCTGTCCCTCCGACTCCCGATTGGTCTGCCGACGTTGATCTTATTCGAGGCACTGTATCTGATCTTGTCGAGAAGGGCCGCGATGTGATCGTAGTCATGCATAGCTTCAGTGGCATGACGGGTGGAACTGCTCTAGATGGGCTCGACAAAGATTCGCGAGGATCAAAAGAATTGAAAGGCGGCGTGGTGCGACTCATTTACGTGGTTGCTTTTCTTGTGCCTGAGGGGTTCCAGCACTCTCCTCACGGCACTCGTGACAACATGGTGTCTGAGATGAAAACAGATCTTGAGGTAAGTTGATACGATCCCTTCAAGAATATCGAATCTAACTTCCAGGACAGGCCGGAATCATCACAGTCGAACAGGAGGATGTCAAGGGAATGTTCTACCAGGATCTGGACGATAACACCGTCGCTGAGCTCACCAAGGACCTGCAGCCCCAGAGCTTTGGCGCGTTCTGGAGCACGACTACGCATGCTGCTTGGCGCCACATTCCGACCACGTATATCATTTGCAATGCGGACAAGCCCAGCACGGTGATGGCCGCGCAGTATCTCGTCGATACTGCTAAGGCGAGCACATCGCACAAGATTGATAACGTCATCAAGGTAGATGCCGGGCATAGTCCGTTCATCAGTAAACCACAGTGGACTGCAAGTACTCTGATCGAAGAGGCGGGCAAAGGTGTATAACCTCTTGATGTGGTATTTATGGAAGATATTAGTGGAGCCAATACCGGAAATGAAAGCGGCGCATTCCGCAAAGTAGCATATTACGAATCCATGAATTGTGCGACAGTTGAAGTTCAGAGGACTGTTGTTTGGGGGTTCAGTTTGAGGCATGAACGGAGCGCGGAAGATATATATATATATGTATTCAAGCAGCGGGGGTTTGCCTGTGAACACTCGCACATGTTTACTTCCTTTCTTCTTAAGCAAAGTAATTGACGCTGATGACCCATGAGCAAGCAAAGCTGTCGAAACGGAGCTGGACGGATTTGGCGAGCGACATAAGAAAAGATCCGGACTTCAGATGTATCTTGAAAAGAAAAATTGTTGTCATAGTGTTTGTTGCCGGTAGGATGCCACGCTTAAAGTTCAGAGCTAGATGAGACGAATGTAGCTAGCGTCAAAACGCGAAACGCGAATGTTGGACGCGACGCGCCCGAGCTCTAGACTTACCACTCACCACACATCATGACACTGTCCTAATTCGATGAGCAGTTATTCACGCGGCATCCCTTCATCATTTGACCCTGCTCTCCTCTACTCCGAGTTAGATTATCCTGAGAACGCACCCACATCGCTTTCCTTCTCCGACGACGTCGACGCATTGCAACAGTGTATTACCGAGGACCGAGCCAAGAAGAATAGCGAGGGAATCGTCATCCAGCATAGAGCTTGGAACGTTGTAGACATCTTCTGGAGTGAAGGAGACGTCTCAATCGGTACAGCCAGGAGATCAGGCTCTACCAGCGGGACTAACGCCCCCAGATACACCTCTCAGACGCCCGACGGATTACAAACTTCAGTGCTATACCACTGACCCCTCGACTGAAGGTCGCGCCTTCCCATCCTCGCCACCCGCCTACACCATGCCCCTCATATCCTCGCCTGTCGCCTACCCACCGAGCTCTCTGCCACAGGCACCCTCGCCAAAGAAGAGAAAGCGATCCGACGATGCACGCGAGCCACTCAAGGACGTGCCGAACAACAATGCTGTCCGAAAGTTTGGGGGGTTCGTGGACGACTCGGACGACGAAGATGACATCGCGGCGCAAAAAGAGCACACGTTGAAGAGGCGGGCCATCGACACTATCAAAGACCTGCCTGTAGTCCAAGACGCATTCACAGACAACACGCCACCTGCAAGCCAGGACGAAATCGTGGACCCTGAAAGCATACCCGTGGACGATCTCGACAACTACAGCTTCGCATCACGATCCCAATCGCCTGTAAAACGGCCTACCTCAGCCCAAGCGCCCCCTTCAGCTCAGCCAATGACAGGTGTAGTGGCTCGCAACTCCTCGGGCAAAGCGATTTACATACCGAAGAAGACGAAGAAGGAAGCTGTCCCTTACGAGCAGTTGATTGCAGCACGCTCAGTAGCCGTCGAAGGCAAAGCGAGGACCAGCTACTACGGTCTCAACATACACGAGCTGATAGATGAGGCGAAGGCGTTAGACGTAGA